ATGATTTGGGGGCAGATCCAGAGAGCCAAGCAGGAGAAAAGCAACCTTCACGTGGTGTGGCTTGACCTCGCGAATGCTTATGAGTCCGTCCCTCACAAACTCATCCATTTTGCTTTGGAGTTCTTCCACGTCCCTGAGTCCATCAACAACCTAGTAAGCAGCTACTTCAGGGACTTCCGGATGTGCTTCAGCCTCCAGGATTTTACAACAGGATGGCAGCAACTGGAAGTAGGCATCGCCATGGGGTGTTCCATCTTTCCAGTCCTCTTTGTCACAGCCTTTGAGATCATCCTCTGCGGAGCCCAACAGACCATGGGAGGAATAAAGCTGCAGACAGGGGAAAGGCTTCCACCACTCCGAAGCTACATGGTCGATGTCACCGTAGTTCTGCAGACAGCACCATGCACAAGAAGGTGCTTGAAGAGGCTGGATGAACTAGTGACATGGGCACGGATGAAAAATAAAACCCTCCAAGTCACGAAGCCTCTCCCTACAAAAAGGCTCCAGGAATGACAACACCATTTTTGTCGCAGTAGGTGTGCAAATCCCCCTACTGGCCAGCCAGCCCATACAGAGCCTAGGGCGGTAGTACAGCGCAGATCTGTCAGACAAGCAAGCGGGTAAGGCAGCACAGGAACAACTCTCAGAAGGCCTCGCAAGTATCAACAAGAGCCAGCTCCCCGGAAGGTACAAAGTGTGGTGCTACAACTTCACACTGTACAAAAGGGTCATGTGGCCACTGAAGATGTGCGACATTCCATCATCAACAGCCAATGGCATGGACCGGATAGCCAACGCATACATCCGGAAATGGCTGGGCCTACCGCGACGATTCTCTGACACAATCCTACTCGGGACAAACTCGCTGCAACTGCCATTCCAGTCCATCACCCTGGGCTACAAACAGGAAAAGGCCAGATTAGTCCTGGACCTGAAAGAATCCTCTGATCCAACAGTGAGGAAGGCAGACGAGGGACTGATGCATAAGGGTTGACATTGGCAAACAGCTGCAGTTCCCCCACGAGATCACCACCACATCACTCCGGCCGGACATCGTGCTCTGGTCTGCTACTGCTAAGTCTGCCATGCTCATAGAGCTCACCATCCCATGGGAGGAGGGAATCCAAGCTGCCTACGAGCGCAAAAGAGCCAAGTACTCAGACCTGGCCGCTGAGTGCAGGGAGGCAGGCTGGTCCACAACCATCTACCCCGTGGAAGTAGGCTGTCGCGGCTTTGTCAGTACATCAACAACTTGGCTGCTTCGGGAATTGGAAAAACTGGGACAAGGCTGCAAAGCTCTACCAAGGCCCTTGTTGAGGAAGCAGAGAGAGGAAGCTTCTGGCTATGGCTGAGGAGGAGAGACAAAAGTTGAGGGTCTGGACAATGAAATGGGGCAGCTGCAAGAGTGGCAGGGAGACGTCCCTGCCGCCGCTCCGCCACCAGGAGGCATTCTGGGGTTAAAGAGAGCGAAACTCCAATGAGCGGTGGTCCCCGGCTGATGACCCTGCAGCTGCCCCAATGGCGCTGTAGGAGGCGCGTCAGGCTTCTTTGCCTAGCAGGCTTTAACACCCACCTGTACAAGCAATGCGACTAGAGCAATGCGCAACCACATTCAACTCAAGCATTTGGATGTTGACCTGCACAGTACGATGGCTGCTGCTGCTAGCAGTGCTGACTTGCACCCATAATTAAACACACACAGGCTACAGTCACTCACACTAAGCTGGGTTCTCCATTCTTAATGACAAATCCAGCTGAGGAATAGTCTCACTGCGCTCGTTGTCGGGATGGCAGAAACACACTGCCAGTGCTTAATCACTGCCAGGTTAAGAAACATTTTAACTGGAGTCCTCCATGTTGACATGTGTAATTCACCCTTTGCTAAGGCCCACCCCTGTTAGTTACTGTTGCTAAGTCCAACAAACTTTCGGTTTCGGAGCTAGACTGGCATGGCGCTCCCACTGTCGCTAACTGCACTCCCTGGAGAAATACTCTCAAATTTTTGGTAAAACAAAAAAGTGATTTCAGACAGAAGCAGACAGAAGGGTCTACAGTAGGCATTTGAAGGATATATTCAGGATGTCAGACTGACACAGCAACGGAATCAAGGTAACAAGATAAAGATTGAAGCTAAAGCCTACGGATCACAGAGTAAAAGTGAACCACCGCATCACTGCTGATCGCCACAGAAGACAATGAATATAAAGGGAAACTTTGCTGATACTGAACCAGCTGTGTGGGATCACAGTGTGTGCAGATGAACAGTGTTTAGCTTCACCCCTGTGCCGCTCCCAGCACCCAGACTGGCAGCTGGACTGTCGGGGGGAAGAAGTCAAACAACGTTAATCTGCGCACAATGCGCTGACACACAGCTGGTTCAATATCAGCAAAGTTTCCCTGCTTCCCTTCAAAATGACTCTAATATGTGCCGTCTGATTTCTATCTCGTCTTCTGCAGTGTCATTGAATGAGCTCTGGCATTAGCCACTCAGTATGTTAACATGAAGTTAGAGAAAATTGATTTACTGTGTGAAAAGTCGGACTAACACCCACAGATAATATGATTGGTAGTTGAATTATTCCTGCATGCATACAGTCAATCGGACCCAAACTGGCCTAGGCGCTCCACACATTTTTTTTTTTTCAGTTTTATTGATAAAGCCCAATGTCACAAATCACAATTTGTCTCAGAGGGCTTTACAGCATATGACACCCCTCACAGCAAGTACTGTAAGACAGCGGAATTTTTTTGCGAAAGAATGCAAAGGTATAGTGAGAGAATGGAAAAGTTATTGCAAGAGAACAGAAAACATGAGGGATTGCAAAATATTGCACTTTAAAGCAAAATATATTGTGAGGGAATGAACAAAAACTATGACCCTCAGGGGGCTCAGCAGTTTTCATCCTCCTTAGGGGAAATAACTTGCACCCAAACACTATACTAAGCGGCTTGCTTTTTCTATCTGTGATTTGGTGCTGGGCAGGTATTGTGCAGTGTATATCAAAGCTCTTTGACTGAAAACAGCTGCCTGCTGTTGCTGGAAATATGGTTATTGAGAGCACCGAGACTGAACCAAACAATACAGTTGGATACCAAAACAATTAGCTGAAAGAGGCTTAAACACTCCATAGAGCTGAGGCAAACTGTAAATCAGTTGATCATTCTCTGCTGGTTTATCACTATGAGCAACTCATTTCACATTGTATTGTGAATATATATGTGTAGTGCAGCTTCAAGTTATTTTTGTGCACAAAATGCAAGGATTTTTCTCACTACTTGTAGAAAATTTTCACATAAAGACTTGTCTTTGAAATCTGCAGTGTATTATACTCTCTCTCTGTCTCTCTCTCTTTCTCAGCAAAATTAGTAAATGAATAGATATTTTCATTTTGGCAGGTCAAACCCACCCATGATGCTGTTGCATTTGGTACATTGGTGAGAGCTGCAATGCCTGTCTAATGAAACACTGATTACATTTTTTCTCTTTCTGCCAACATCCCACAGTCTGACTACTGTCCAGGATGTCTGTCTGGACTACTTTCAGGTGTCTGTGTTCATCCAGTTGGAATTCTCATGCCCAGCATAATCAGCAAATACCTCAGCACTGTCAAACCATCAGATGGGAAACAGTCTAGCACAAGTCAAAAACAAGTTACAGCTAGCTTTCATGTGACAATTAGGGGGTCATTGTTTCACTAGCTTCAAAACTGATGGTGTTTGTTGCCTTTTTTGTATTTTTGGACACAAAGCCATTTCAAACCTCCATGCATGTCAAAGGCCTGGGCCAGAAGCTGTGGCCTTGCTACAGTATTCACTGGACACAGGCTGCAGCCTCCCTCCAGCCACTGTCAATGAATGTGCAATTAGTCACACCAAAGCCTGCATTTGAAAAAGCCCTCCACCATTTCATTCCACAGTCTGAGTGTCTCCACAGCGTGTGTCCATGTGCAGGCACCAGTTCCATGTTGGTGCAACGCCAGCTGCTGGCCCTCATGAACTAACTCTCTTTCCTCCACCGTGGCCCCCACTAACTTAAACATGACTCTCTGATTGATTGCCTGAAATCATGCTGCAATAATTGACCTTCAGTGAAGTCAGTCGTTTCTCTCTGCTTTTGCACAAAGGACCTTAAAGTAGTACACAGATGCAGAGTATAATGTTGTCTTACAGCATAGTCTGCCTTGTGCCAACAGGATATAAGCATGAGTGCTCCATGACTTTTTTTTCAGTGAGTCAGGCTGTTGAAAACCTTTTTGAGATTTTCTCTTTTTAGCAAGACATCATCATCTGGAAACACTTATACTGTGATTTACGAAGGCCCCCTATTGGATTTCCCCAAACACGAAAGAGCAGACAGCAGGAGAAACCTAGCAAATTCAAGCCATTACAGAGAGATTGATCCAGACAAACTGCACTCCCACCCGTTTTTTCATTGACAAATGTTTAAATGTGTCTTTGACACAAGGGACAATATGATATATAGAATTAAAGTGTTACATGTCTTTACATCTGCAGATGAAAAGATGTGTAACAGAGCCAATAAAACTGTTAATGTGCTTTAAAGATGGTCTGTGCTCTGACTTTGTCTCATCCAGTGTCAGTCAGAGTGCTTTTACCTCACAAGCCAACTCCTGTACAGTAACAGGGCCATTCTACCACTGACCCACTTTACTGTAAAAATGCCTTAAAGATATGTCTGGCTTCAATTACCCCACCCAGATTTGGCATACAACATCACAGGCCGCTATAAAATTATCATGGTGTTTATAGATGTGGCTTAACACACACTACCTTCTGTTACATGATATGTTCTCTTTGATGTTGGCAATTGGTTTGGACTCAACTTTTTTCATCTGTGCAAATTTGAAGAGCAGTTTTAGCCCCTCGGTTAGTGCCAGTTTATGTGCAGAGACATAGGCTACACTGCAGTAGCAAATACAGGATCACATAGAGAACATGCAGTCAGACAGCTATACTAAACCTACAGTGCTCTTTTTCAGGTCGGAGGTGTCAAAACTACAACTCCCAAGCAGCACCAGGGTAGAGCAGCAGCTGAGTGTTGGCAGCAGGCAGGGCCAGAGGTGTTGCTCGGAATCCCAACATGACCGATGTTCTCCAACAGGGCGTGCTCTGACGACCCCAGGTGAGAGTAAGACATGTTTCTCATGAAAGGACAGAGTCCTAACGTCTCTCTGCTAAGCAGTCTACAGTTTCTAATGACAAAGAAAGTAGCTAATTTACCCTTTCATAATTTAAGAACCAGTTTCATAATTCAGAGTGCATTATGTAATAGATTTTTTTTTTTTAAGATATTTTTTTGGGCAGTTTTGCCTTTAATTGATAGGAAAGTCAAGTGTGAAAGGGGGAGAAAGAGAGGGAATGACATGCAGCAAAGGGCCACAGGCTAGAGTCGAACCCGGGCCACTGCGGCAACAGCCTTGTACATGGGTGCCTGCTCTATCCACTAAGCCACTGACGCCCCCAAGTAGTTGATTAATTATGCCTCCGCGTGAAGGTGATAGCTGTGGCTGGAAGCATTATGTTTTCAGGGTGGCTGTCTGTCCATCTGTCCCATTCTCTTGAACATGATATCTCAACGTCTTGAGGGAAGTTTGTCACAAACATCCTTTTGGACTCCACAATAAATTGATTAGAGTTGGTGGTCAAGATCACAATGACCTTGTCTGTCTCACTCTTGTAAACACGATATCTCAAGAACACTTCAAAGTAATTTCTTTAAATTTGACACAAATGTCCACTTGGACTGAAGAATAAACAGAAGAATTTTGGGGTTGAAGGTAAAAAGTCATGGTCAGTGTGACCTCACAAAATATGTTTTTGGCTATAACTCAAAAATTCTTATGCTAACTATGACAAAACTTTACACAAATGTCTAATAGGACATACTTATGAAGTGATGACATTTTACATTCAAAAGATCAAAGGTGAACTTCATTGTGACATTATGTTAATTAATAATGTTCTGCATAAACACTTTTCTGTCCAACTCAACATCATATCTCGAAGGGGAGATATTTGGTCAGATACTGAATCGGTGACACTAATCTTGGGTGCCCACCTTGAAACTGTGCTGATTGTATAGATCTTCTGTGCTTTCGAGGGGAAGATGTGCGTGAAGCATCCATGTTTTTACAGACATGTATGTAAGCTAGAAGAGAAGCTTGACTGGTGCAGTGAAGCATACAACTGCAGGGTGGTAATTGTAGTTTTTCCATAAAATTCGAGAAAGTAGTGAAAAATGCATGTAACAAGTGGCATCTTATTGCTTGCTGCATGCGACCAATAGTCCAAACCCCCTAGAAAACAGAACATCCTCACACTGGAGAAACTGGAGCCAGAGAATGGATGGTGTTTTTGCCTGAAATTTTGCCTGAACAATTAATTAATCATCAAAAAAGTTGCAGACTCATTTTCTTTTAACTGACTGATTGATTGACTATTTTTTTTTTTCAGCTCTAGTCTCAAGTCTTTTATTCTCTACACTTCTGGCTGCTGTCCTCTATGACAGTGATAGTAATGATTGCATTAATGATGACAGTGTGTTGTGACTTGTAGTGGAGGAGCAGCTGTTCCGTTCGGTGGAGGGCCAAGCAGCATCTGATGAGGAAGAGGATAAGTGGACTGAAGATCAGCAGAGGCAGGTGGATGAGGTGAAGAGGATCTTGACCAGGCTGTCCTGCTGTGGGGAAAGGTACCGCACATCCACATAATCACTCTAGCTTACAGCAAGCTAGAGGTGTACTACTTAATGGTACACCTCAGTTTGCTGTCTATGATAGGATAGCTAGCATAATAGGGCCCAGCATAGTTTTTAGATTAGGGATACATTTCTACAAATGTTATTGAGCATCTATTGAAGCAACATGAAGCCTTTAACAAGTATCTATGACAGATATTTTTAACGAATGTAATGTTTAAAGCTGCATTAATATTTTTTGCCCCTTGGTTAGCAGAACAACTCCAGAACAAACTGACAGACAGACACAGTTCAGTCCTGATGTGTTTGCCTTTCCAAGTTGTAATGGCTCATAAGCAAACAATGGCCTACACACATCCATGCACGGAGTAACATAAGCATTTATTTGGGTCAAGTTTCTGTTCATCTAATGAATGTAAATACAATCTTCACTCTACTTTTAGCTGATCTTCACCAGTTCCCGAAAAAAATCTTTATATAATATGTCTTTAAGTTATAGTTGGTAATCCTGTTCAGAAACACTTCTTGTTATATTGGGTGAAATGGTCCTTCCATCCTGAGAGTAGTCAATACATAATGTGTTCAGAAAAAGGAATGAAAAAAATCTGACCTCTGTGGCAGCTGCAGGCCTGTAAAAACTCTGACCAATTCCTGCCATTCGGTGCGAATGGAAAGAACCAATCAGATGCCTTCATGTCTCGTCCTGCCCGAGCCCCCCTCCGTCCCTCCCTCCCTCAGCAGAAATAACGAGTTAGCAGGAGTTTGCTGAACAATGGCAGAGAAAATGCAGCCAAAAGTACCACTTCCAGCGTTATTTGTAACTGCTCGCCCCCACTAAACAGGCTGAGAAAGGAAAGTCAGAGGTAGAAAAGGCTGCGATGAAAAAGGCTTTGGCTAAAGTGAGAGGACAAACCAGACATCAACATCCGTGCAGCTTTTGAACGGTGGAGACAACTGAGGTAGCTGAAGGGCCTGAAAAGTGATGCAGAGGTTGCTGTCTTTCTGTTGGACAGGTAATTATTTGTTTGCTTTGGGGGGATTTGTTATTTTACTCGGCTCTCCTCTGCCCTGCTGACTGCAGGATGCGCGTTCAAGCTTGTGTGGGGCCGTGGCTTTGGACGGAGCATTGACGGGAGGGGGAGGAGGGGGCGGAGCTTAGAGGAGGTGCCGCTTTCAAATCTTGCTAGCTCTCCAACATTACCAACTATAGCTTTAAGCTGCAAGATGTTTGACTGTCTGCAATAGGTATCATACGCCCCGATCACACAAAAAGTATTTTAGCAGCTGGACGCTGCTGTTTGAGCTAGAGCAAGTACCCTCTGCCTGTCCATTTTAGTATCTAGCTACTAATTACTGAGAAATAAATAAAAATGAAATTAAATAAATAAACGGTAGATTGATTACACGAGATGGTTAGGGTAAAGGGGTGATGGGGTGGTTCCCTGGCAACAAAAAATATGAACAGCAATTGTTTTTTTACTAGTGGCACTCAATTTGAAAAAAAGAGCAGTGCAGTGCGCCTTGTGTTTTGGCACCTACAAAACGCTTTCTGTTTGATTGGGGCCTTCGTTGCTAGCTTTGTCTGTCTGCTGTGAAGTGCTGTGCAGGTAGTGTTCAGTGGGTTTATCAGAGCTTTTGTAAAAGAAACTAGCTGCCTGCTAAGACTGGAAATAAGATGAGAACTGCTGTTGAAAACAAGATTGATGAAAGCGATGACAGTGACCTGAGAAAGATGTTCCCCAGCTCTGTATTGGCTTAATATGTCATCATGACTCTGAGAGTAATGAAACTGCACTAACACAGATCACTGTTGCTCTTTTTGTTAGAACAGTTCCAAAATTGATTGCAGCACAAGAAATTAAAAACTTTTATAAAAATGAATAATTGAAAAAAATAATTAATCAATTAAGGAATGAGAAAAGGGCAAACTAAGGGTTAGAAAACAGGCCTAGGATCAGATTTAATTCCCATTTTTAAACATATCCATAACAACTGACTATTCCCATCTCCAAAGAGGTTCAGATTAGGAAAAAAAAACTGGTAAGGGGGTCTGAACCCTTCACTCATACCCGTCAATTTTAATTCTACATTTCATCTTTTTATGGCTCTTAGTCTTAGTCTATGTCTTATGTATTGATATGCAAAAAACAAAACTATTTTAGAGACTGAGAGTTCCAGAAAATGGCATGAACACATCAGAAGGGTTGATGTGTGTTCAGAGAATATTGAACTGGGGAACTGAGGACCTTGGGAACATATGCTCCCCAGTGAACCACCCTGGAAATGTGCTTAAAACCAAAGCAATATGCTAAAAGAACCTAAAACACTACAAAAGTACCAATGACACAGATAAGTTAGATGTGGGTCATTCCATGAAATCAGTGCTTTTTTAACTTTGAAAACTTAAAATTTAAATTTAATTTGATTGCTATTTTTTTAAGTAGCCTGGAATTAAAGACAGTTTAAAGTTACAAGAAATTTTATTGTGCAATCTCAGGTTGTGGAATTTCATATTTTATTACTGTTTTTCTCCTTATGTTTTGATAGTTTTAGCAACCCTGATGAAAGTATTACTACATCTAATATTCTTAATTTGACATATGTAATAAATGGCACATATATGAGCAGTACTTAAGTCCCTGTTTTCATTGAGATTATTTTCAGATGTGGATTTTCTTTTCCAATTTGATAGGTTTCATTCAGATTATCAAGCATACCCTAATTGTGCATGGCAATCACATGTCTATTAAGAAAAAAGAGTTTTTTTAGATGAGAAATACTGGAAGAATGGCCTAGTCCAAAATATATTATAGTTTAAATTACAATGGTAAGAGTTGAAAGTCCATTTTGATAGTTTTTTTTTTTTTTTTTGTTTTTTTTTTTTACATTTTCATGAAATTAATGACAATAACTTGTCAGCTCTGTTGCAGTAACAGGGCTGACAAGACTAATGGATGACATACATTCTACTGCCTACGCTCCACATCTTTGTCCACACACTACTAAGAAGTCTTACTTCCCAAGGTACAGAGTATTGATTTGCACTTGATTGGCATTGTTGCATTAATGGTAAATGGACCTGCATTTTGTATAGCACCTTTCTAGTCATCTGACCACTCAAAGCACTTTTTACACTACGAGTCACATGCACCCATTCACACACACATTCATACATTGGTGACCAAGGCTACCATAAGGTGCCACCTGCTTTTTAACTCACACACACACCGATGGAAGCATCACCAAGAGCAATATGGGGTTCAGTATCTTGCTCAAGGATACTTCGATATACAGACTGGAGCAGGGATGGAACCGCTGATCTTCCAGTTGGTGGATATTATTGAAGCACACTACATTTCATTGCAGTTTTGTGCATGCATTATTGACAAGCATTTTGGAATGATTTTTGTTATTAAAACAGATTATTTTTATATTGGTAATTAACATATTAAAACACACTGAGTCATATTTTAAGTGTTATTAATTTAGGAGGATTTAACAGCATTTCATTAATTTAACATAGTAGCCAATGTCAAAAATGTTTTTGTAGCATTTAAACGTGACCTAAAACAGCCAGTCCATACAAACAAAGGCCTCATTTTCACAGTAGAAGTAACCAGTGTCATCATAATATGGATATTAGCTGAATAATACTAACATGATGACCTTTAAAATGTTTTAACTTTATAAGGCTAACCTTTTAAGACAGTAAACTAGTGTAAACAGAGTTGGTGATTATTTTCATCTCTGTCAGAGAAAACTGATCTGAGTTCAGACTTTTTACGTTCAGCATAGCTACACTCACAGATAACTCAGCCTCCTACCTGCCTGTCAAATAGCATCAACCCATAAACCTTCTCTAGTCTGGACTGAGTGGCATCCTGCGGAGATCAGCTGTGAGGTCCAGCAGCCGGTGGCTGCTCACTCTGCTGCCGTTCAGCAGCTAACAAGCAGAGCTAACTGTTAACAGCCACTGCTGCAACTAACAAACTCCACAAATCCATTCAGTAGCTCCACCATCCAGAGTCAAACACACATGGCGGATTATTTACTGCTGAATTACAGCTTGAACAAAGTGTCTGTTGTTGGAAATACTGAAAAAGGTCGTGTCCAGATAAAGCATGTTTGTTTTTCAGGTTCTGAAAGCTAGAGAAGATGCCAGATTCGTAGAGGTCTCCAACAGACCTGAGTCCCTTTAGTTCCCATGTGAGGAAAGCACAGTCTATTACAGAAGGATGAAACAAATTATTGTTTGATAGTGGAGCTAGTGTAGAGGAGGATTTGAATTTAAAGTGCTGCCGAAACTGAAACCAAATTTTAAGGGTGGAGACTACTATTGGGTTAGATGTGTACCGAGACAAGAGTGGAGGTGAAGATGAACATATTAAAGCTGGGAGTGATGTCGATTGACAGGACTTTGCCTCCAGTAAACACCAGTTAGTCAGTGGCATTTGCATCCAAAATGCCAGCTTCTGTATTTTAGCCGCCCAGTAGTAATACAAAAAATTAGGTAGGGCCAGCCCACCTTTAGACCGATTGTGCTGGAGCACTGCTCTGCTAATCCTTGGACCTTAGTGCCCCATATAAAAGCTGTAACGGATAGATTTAAGGAAAGGAAGAAGGACTTGGGTATAAAGAGGGGAAGACATTGAAAGAGATAAAGAAATTTCGGCAAAGTGTTCATTTTAATGCATTGTATTTTGCAAACCAGTGATAAAGGTAAATTTTTCAGTTCAGTTCAATTATTAAGTCGAGCTTCATCTGTAACACTAAGTGGGTCAAATTTGCTTTAAGAAGTGAGTCTAGAGAGTGGGTTATATAGACTCCTAGGTACTTGAATTCAGATTCAGCCAGAGTAAAGGGTATATGAGACTGTTGAATATGTAGTGCAGAGGTGTTCACTGGGAATCCCTCACTTTTGTTTCGATATTAAATTTGTAACCTGAAATGAAGCCAAAACTTTCTAGAATAGAGAGGATCACCGGGATGCTTAC